TGGGATTTGAACTCTAGACCTGCCACTTGGGGGTTGACAACCTATCCACTTCACTAGGTCGCCACACCCCTTAATTAGATAGAGTTAAAATAGAAATTATTATATTTAGTAATATATAATTTTTAGTAGACTGACACAGGCTTTATAATTAGTGACTGTTTGTTTGACTTTCATTAGCAACCTTTTTCTCTTTTATTTCTTGATATTTGTTTTTTTTTATGTTTCTTTCCTATATAGTTTTTTTTAATACATTTCTTTCTTAATAAGAAAAATTTTTTTTATTTTTTTACTTTTATACAAATGAATAGTATTATATTGGTGCTGTTTAATTGTAGGATAATAGACAGATAAGTTCAATCCAGACTTTAACAGATCTGATGCAACAAGTTGCTTATAAGTGTTAATTAGAGTAACCATGTAATGATAACATGTGAGATTAGATATAGTTATATTTATATATCATTTTTACTAAATATTTATAAATAAACTTTTGACTAGTTAATTATTATAACTACCAAAGTTAAAAAAAACAAAAAAAAACAAATAAAAATCTCTAAATAGTAAATACTACCAACTAGGTTGCCAAAATAAATTAAAGAAAAAGAATATTAACTGATTTAATATACTAATAGATTGATTATAGTTCTATTAGGTTATTTGAATTGGAATTTTAGAGACAATATAGAAGTATACTAAAGTATTTTGAATATGCTGTAAAGTAGTACTAAGGTTTGAGTGAATTCTGTAAAGACATAGTTTTAATAATTAGTTCTGATTGCAAGTATTAGTTCTGTTATAATAATATTAAATTAACTGTAAAAATATGTATAAAAGGCTTCAGAAAATTTATTTTGAAGATATAATAGTCCTAAAATTGAGATAATAGCTTGGACATAATCCAATAATGTTAATACAAATTGTAAGTTCAGAGGGTTTAAAATAAAACACCTAAGCAGAAATGTTAAGTATAGCAATTTGTAAGAAACCTTTGAGCAAACTTTTTAAATAGATAATATAGAAAAGTTATACATGTAACCAATTGTATACTTTTCTTGTAGTAGTTTATAGAATCATATTACCAAAAAATTGGTAATAAAATTCAAAAGATCAAAAAGGTTACCTTAAAGAAAAAAAAATTTTTTTTCTATTTATTCTACATTAAACTTATAATGTATCTGTGTTGTTTACTTCTAAATCTGAAATACTATAACATATGTGCAACTTTGTAATTATTATACAACTATAGATGCTGGTAAAACTGATAAAATTATTGGTGAATGGTAATGAAACTGATGAAATTGGTGAAATTTAATATAGCAGCTAATCAGATTTTAGATAACCATCAGTTTCACCTGATTTTACCAGCATTTATAATTCGACATAACATACCAAAAAATAACAAAAAATAAATCTATGATCATAAAGGTTTGTCGGATAAAAGTATAATATTTTATACTGTATAATATATTTGGTTCTTGAAAACCAAAAAACTAATTATATTTTAACAACTCTTAATAGTTTTTAAAATATCTTTTTTCTTTATATTTTTGATAATTTAATTTAGCTATTTAGAGTTTTTTATCTAATTAACAAATTTTCTTTATAAAAGATAAGTTTATTTATTTGTATTTAATTATACACCACCTCTTTTTTTTGTTATGTTTAGGGTAATGATCGGTGGTTGAACTTAGAGTTTAAGTAATTATATGTTATTGCTTAGGAAGCAACAAGCTTAACAAAGTACCAGTATACTGCTTAAGACAAAAGAAAAAGAAACATTATTTACACTAAAAATTTGACATACAATTTGTCGTAACTCAATCTTAACTAAATATATATTTTTTATTTTTACTAAGTTTCCATACGGAAATTTTATTAACTAAAAATATGCTAACACTAATGATAATTGCTGTTGCACTTAATTCGGTGATCATTCTATGTACATAGACTTATAATATGCATATCTAAAGATCTACTACATACAGACGTGTAGATAGTTGTTTTATAACAATGACATGACTTTACTCGTAAATTTCTCACCTTGCAACTACATTCCTTATACTGTTGTAGTTTAAAAGTCGTAAGGCTTACTAACACCCCGAAGTTTTTGACTCAATCACCAAAAAGAGGCGACTCAATATGACCAGACTCACACCGGGATCAGTTTCCTTAGCTTTGCTGGTCTTGTCACCGGTCTGTTTTCTTGCAACAGCCACCATGCAAGAGTTGTTGATTGTAGATGATTTTTTATTACCTTACCTACAAAATTATTTCAAAATTAAGGACATACCGTTCTTCATGATCGGCGTGGTGTTTGCTTGGACTTACGTGATAACTGCTTTTCTAAGCGTCATGGCACAATCTGTCGGGATAAGGAATGGTTATCACAATAGAGTGTGTATTCTTTTATTCTTTCTATATTTATCCAATTTATTAAATTTATTTTGGATACTTTAGGATCCAAGACCTTATAGACCGATGCTTAGAGGTGCATTAGCTAGAACGGTGGCTGCACATCAAGTTGCTTTGGAAAATGCACCAGGTAAATAATCGTTGAATGTTTTCTAGCATTTATGGTATTATATTGAATTGTATCTCATAGAATAATTGACATTCTTTTCCTTATAGCATTTTTCGCTGCAGTTATTATTGCGTCAGCAAATAAGGTGCCTTTAAGATACAGAACTAGGTTAGAATGGACGTTTATCAAATTTCAATTACAACTGATTATGAGCTTTGCTAACTGTCTTTACGTCCATAGTTTTTCGATCATGTATGGGGTCTTGCGGATTATCCATACACCGCTCTATGTGTTAGATTTTGACATTGCCCGTGCTATTGTTCATATAATGGCTTTGTCATGTACTACATGGCTATTTGCATTCGCTCTTTTGCCTGGCTTTGAACAAAATTATTCATCTTTAATTGATGTTGTGAGCATCTTACGAAGCGTATCCGATGATTCTACATGGACATTTGACTAAATAAGATTCCTAAGTGACAAACTTCAAGTCCACTCGTTATTTGTAACAAATTTAAGAGGTTTATTACAATTTGGATATATGTGAGTTTGCATTTGTAAAAATTAGATTTATATATTAACAAATTCAGTTTGTTAACAATCTTATTTGTTCTATTTTATTTTATTGGAAGGATTTATTCATTTTCCCACATTGGAAATCGCACCATTATAGTAACAATCAAAGAATCTAACACATAGTACGTTTGTTCTGCATCTACAAATCGATTTCATTGCAGAAGTAATATTTAGTTATAGGAATGCGCGCATTTTTGTTCTGTAATCTTGTGTTTTTATTGATTTATTATCATTATTTGGTTATTATCTATATTTATTTTCGAGTTTATATAGAGTAGGACGGTAATTAGTTGAACATTGTATGCACCTTTTTGTTTATAGATTATTAACAATTGTCTGTCATAATATTTCTGAAATTTGTAAAACTTTGGTTATTCTGCGTTATTTTATATTTCATAATTATTTGACTAATGGGTTATTTGTGCTTTGTGAATAAAAAGAAATTTATCAATAAAATTTTAATAAATACTAATGCTAACTTGTGAATTGATCTGTATTGTTCAGGCCAGTATAATTGGACCAATCATCGTTCTAAAACCTGTAAGTTTTATTACACAGGTATTTGAGCCGGATTCTCATATAAACCTGGGTTTAGGCTAAGTTGTCTAAATTTAAATTTTAGATATATTTTAGCCAATCAGAATTCTTCTATATATAAATTATCCGTCAGATGACTAAAATTTTAAGATGCGCAAAAATTTTAGGTTTAACTTAAATTGTTGTTAACCTGTGGTAATTTTACCAAATTCTTTTACTTATAACTTGTTTTTTGACTAATAAATGATTTAAAGAAGTTCTTTTACTTATAATTGTCCTTGATCAGATGGGTGTTTTTAGCAGGTTCTTCATTTACATATTTCTTTGTTTATGAATTATGTTTAACAAGGTAGGTATTTTTAACAGGTTTTTTAATTTATAAATTGTCAACAGATTTTTTTACTTAAAAGTTGTTTTAATTGATTTTTGATACAGATAAATATTTTTTTTTTTAAGTTAAAGTTCCTGTTTTTGGAAGTTGATGTTTTTATTCAAGTTTTCTTGAACACAGATGCCTCTAGGGGCATTCATATATAGGAGGTTACAACTAACCACATGTGCCTTTTTGGTGTCTAACTTAAGTAGTTCATCTATATTTTACTATACAGGTTCTATACTAAATGTTATACTTGCAAGCCAACTACAAGTCTTGCTTATTTAATCCTTTTGTATATGCAATTTCAACTCATATTATGGTAACATCTTCAAGGTTACACTTATCAAAAGTACCTAATGCAGTCAAATCTCTTAGGATTATTTTATTTTGACAGGAAACTTATTAGAACCTTTCATGTTCTATACACAGTTGACCTAGTTTTATGCAACACACTATAGTTTTCTAATACTTGCAGTTACAAGGATTACCTGTTTAATCATTATATTAATTATTTTTATTCTTATAAAGTTCACTAGAACCTAGTACCTATCATCATAACATCTTCTTTATCATCTTTTATTAATTATTATTTAGAACCAACAGGATTTCTCTAATTTTCAATTCAGATAACCTAATATGATATACATATATATTCTTTTCTTTTATTAATTTTAGTAGCTTAGTTAGTTATATGTTTCTTTATATATCTTATTATCTGGTTTATTTATCTATATTTTTAGAGGTGTTTTATAAATTTTATTAGTCTAATTATATTATCAAAAGTTCATGTTATCTTTTATTCAAAAATTTTTAAATAAACTTTCAACTTTTTAGTTTATTATACTTGATGGTTTTATCATAAGTTTGTATTAAAACCTTATATAATATTGATTATTAATATTTTTCTATAGATGTAAAATATTATATTTTGTATAAATATTCTGAGCTCTCATTTAAAATAATGTGACTTTTTTTTTTTTTTTTTAAATATTAAGGTGAGTACTTGCAACCCAGGATTTTATTGATAATACATTCAGCTAATGGTTGCATTACAACCACAGGGGGCAACTATAGAAAGAGTGTACAACTAGTCACTCATACAACTTTAGTCATTGTCTAATTTAAGTAGTCTGCCTGAAGGTTCTACACT